GATTGTTCAGAAGATTGTTCAGGAGATCGTTCAGAAAGTAAGACAGAGCTGAGAATCGTATGAGATGGAGTCATACAAGGAAGGTACGTCTATGACAAGACCACCACTTCTTGATTCAACAAATTATGGATATTGGAAGGTTCGTATGCAAGCTTTTATTAGTAATCTTGATGAAGATTGTTGGAATTCAATTGAACTTGGTTGGGAGGCTCCTAAAGTTACGGATGATGATGGAGTTGTAAGTCTCAAGCCAAGAGATAAGTGGACTGCTGCAGAGAAAAAGCTATCAAGTTGCAATTCTAAGGCTAAGACTGCGATTTACAATGCTATTGATTCAAGTCGCTTTAAGTTGATTTCTCAATGTGCATCAGCTCAAAAAGCATGGAAGACATTGGAGAATATGTTTGAAGGTACTACAAGCGTTAAGAGAACGAAATTGGATATGTTGGCTTCGCAATTTGAGAATCTAAGGATGGAAGAAGAGGAAACTGTGGCTGATTTTAGTGCAAAGTTATGTGACATATTTAATGAATCGTTTGCTCTTGGAAAGGTCTACAAGGACAAAAAGCTAGTGAAAAAGTTGAAGAGATCATTGCCTGCAAAATTTGAGTCAAAGATTTCTGCAGTTGAAGAAGCTCATAATCTAGATGAGATGGCTTTTGATGAGTTTGTTGGAATTCTTCAAGCTTTTGAGTTAAGCAAAGCATATGAAGCTAAAGGAAAGATGAAGAAGGTAGATGAAGTGAAGAAGGAAGTTGACATTGGAGTTGCTCTTAAAGGATCATCAACTGAAGATTCAATGGCTATGTTGTCAAGACAGTTTACTAAATATCTGAAGCGAAAGGGAAAAGATAAGAAGGATAGAATTGATGAAGAGTTAAGAAGTTCATCAAAGAATGTGCAATGTTTTGAATGCAAAGGATATGGACATGTTCGTTCGGAATGCGCCAATCTACAAAAGCATAAGAAGAAGGCCATGAATGTTGTCACTAGTGATTCTGAAACTGATTCAGATGAAGAAGAAGAAGATCTGAAGAATTTTGTGGCTTTGACAACTTTCAATTCTAGTTCAGATATAGATTCTGCGTCAGTCTCTGAATTAATGTCTGCATCAGTGTCTGCAACAGGGTCTGCATCAGCATCTGCAACAGGGTCTGCATCAGCATCTGCAACAGGGTCTGCATCAGCATCTGCAACAGGGTCTGCATCAGCATCTGCAACAGGACCTGTAATTAAAAGTGAAAACGATGAATGTGATAGTGATGCAGAGAGTGTTGATGATGAAGAATTTGCTGAGAATTATAGAGCCTTATATGAGCATTGGCTTAAAATGGTTGAAGAGAATTCAGTGTTAACTAAGGAGAAACTCAAGTTAGAGGCTAAAGTCATTGAAGTACAGAAATATGCTGCAGAAAAAGAAGAAGAAGCATCACAAGCCAAAGTACAACTTGAAGAAACTCAAAAGAATTTGAGGATGCTTAATAATGGCACAAAGAAGTTGGATCATATTCTGAATATTGGCAAGATTGATAAGTGTGGCCTTGGATTTGAAGGAAAACTTTCAAAATCAGATCCAGTGTTTGTTTATGGTGGAAAAATCACGTCTGGATCAGGAAGTGTGTCAGAAACTGCAACTATGGCAGAGACTGCATCCGGTACAAGAACTACTACGAGAACTGGTACAAAGTCTGATACAGGAAAAGTTAAAGAACTGCAGAGTGCACCTCAACGAGTTTTTCGACCTGTTTGCCATCATTGTGGTATTGTTGGGCATATTAGGCCAAGGTGTTTCAGATTGTTGAGGGAGAGAAATCGAATGGAGAATGCTTAAGATAAGAGATTTCATGGTCCTACTTTTAATCATTGTGGAGTTCAAGGGCATATTAAGAGGAATTGTTTCAGATTCATTCGAGAATCCAGTCATGAAGGCTTAAGGCGCAGGAAGATTTGGGTTAGGAAAGATGATTTCTATGGAGGTGGTGTACTAGGCTATCAACCTCATATTGCAAAGCGGGGAGAATTTTCCAAGTAGTTTTGACCATGTTGTGACTCATTCAGGGGGAGAATGATGATGTGTTTCGTGTTGTTGTTTTGGAGTTAGAACTGATGAGTTCACAAACATAGTCAAAAAGGGGGAGAATGAAGATGTAGCTGTAGTCTGATGAAGTTGTTGAATGAGTTAAGAAGTAATACAAGTTTTTGTCTGATGGAGTTCCTGAATGATTCAAGAAGTAAGTCAAGATGCGACTATTTTTGTGTGTGTGTCGGTTTCTAGAAGGTTTGATAAGATATGTTTGGAGCGTGTTTAGAGGATGAATCACAAAGGAAAAAGGACTTAAAGAGATTTGGAAGACTTGATGAAAGTGGAGTTTGATGAGAAAAAGGAAAAGTATAAAAGGAAATTTACTTTTTCTTATGGAAATTGGAAATCTTCTCCTATGGTGATTAGGAAATCATTTTGGCTATATAAGGAGGAGCTGAGGACGTCTTTGAGAAGCAAGAGAGCTGAGGCATAGAGGCAAATCATTGAGAGCTTTCGGAGGGTGTGTGCGACATAGTTTCGCGGTTTTGTGCAACTTAGTTTTGCGGGTTTTGTGCTTGTGTGATCAAGTGGTTTTGTTTTGAAGTCTAGGCTCAAGGGGAGTTTAGCTCAGGGTTAGGTTATCCTGATTAAATCTAGACTCAAGGGGAGTTTAGTTAAGGGTAGAGATTATCCTTAAGGTTTCACGTTATAGAAGGGAGCGGTAAATCAAGAGGGTTGGGCTTGTTTTACGCGTTTGCGAATTGGTTTTAATTTGCTTTCTTGTTCTAGTGAAATCAAAATCTGGACTTGGTTTCGGGGAGTAGGAAAAACCGAACCTCGTTAACAAATTTCTCGTTTACTTTCTACAATTTATCTTACCTCATCCGCACTTACACAAGCCTCTGAATAAATATATGCAAACCCAAAGACAAAGAATTTAATAACAAGTTCAGTCTTAGAACAGATCAAGACTAGGGTAGAAGGAAACACGCATCATCTACAGACTATGAAGATGTTACGAAGTAATCGGAATTCTGTAAAAAATGTTGGAACTTGTTTTTGACAAAAATGGTTTTGACCATTGTTACGGTGGAGTTTCCGGTGAAGACGTTCATCGGAATGACCGGTTCTTGGGCACGATGGAATCGTTGCTGCGAGCACTACGTGGTGGTGTATTAGAATGTCAAAAACGGAGTTCGTTTGAATGAGAAATGGTGGTCTAAAGTGGCTAGCTTGGAAAGCTTAAAATTTGACTAAGGGTCAAATATCGCACTTTGGAAATTAAGAGAAGAAACCCAAACCGCACATGTTATTGTGTCGAACCGTGTCGTACCGAACTAGACCGGATTTGGGAATTGAGATTTGAGATTTGAGTAATGGGCTTACAACCCAAATAACTATCCATAGTTGCTCAAATTTGTGTAAGTCATTTGTTTGACTAATTCAACAAATATCTACTTTAAAAGTTGATTTTTGTAACGACACAATCTCAATGAATCACAATTAATGTTGAATATCAATTCTCATCCAATTGTCATTAACGTGAGATTCTCCTCTTGATTACGTCATTGAAGGCTTTGGCTTTATAAGCAAAGTTTCTTCACCTCATTTGATGTAGGTTCAAACACAACACAATCTCCTTCCTCTCCTTCTCTTTTCTAGTTCTAGTCTGAGAGTACAACACAAGGCTAGTGTTCGTTCAGCTTTTGATTTGAGTGTTGCAATCAAAAGAAGAAACAGTTTTATCCTGGGACTCTAATTGTCATCAAACCGGCACACTACGGGGCGATTTTTGAGTTAAGGAGAGAGATCATCAAAGTTCTCGACTCTGTTTACCACTGTCAATCTCCGTTCTTCAATCATCGTTTCGGTATTGTTGATTTTTGATACTTGTACTATGTTAATTGCTTTACAAATATTAGATTGTGCCCCTGTTCAAATATTCAGGTCCTACAAAAAATGGGTTGCGTTAGCGAGAAGCAGACGGTATCTGTGACGCATGATCGATTACTCTCAGGCGTCTTCAAGGAAAATGAGAGACTTGTTCAAAGAAAATTCCTGGGATTCTTTTTTTTTTTTTTTTTTTGTAAGGGATGAAAAAAAGAAGTGACGATGCATATGACGATGAGAACGAAAGAGTGAAAGAAGGATTTCTTCTTTTTTTTGTGATTTTTTTTATAAAAACAAATTCTTCCAAATACCACCTCTCATGGTGTGATTTTTTCAATTGGATTTCTTATGTTAAAATGTATAGTCTCCTAAAATCAGTGTTGTAGTTTTCTTCAAAAAAAAATATTATGTTTTGAATAACAGGTGATTTGGTATAAGTTTTACAAATTATTGTTTGAATAACAAGAGATTGTGAGTGATTTTATAGAAATTGCAATTTCAATAACATTGGATTTAGGATGGGATTTAAAACTCACAAGTTCAATAACAGAGGATTTTAATAAAAAAACAAAACCTTCCAAAATCCTAGTTACAATACACCCCCCTTAATGTTTCTTTGGAATTCTCTGCGGGATATGATGGATTCGAGTTTTATTGACCAAATAATCAAAAATACTTGAAAAATCTATAAAAATAGTAAAAATACTCAAAAATTACCGAAAAATATCCAAAAATATTCGAAAATACTCAAAAATAACCGAAATATCCGAAAATATCCTAAGCAAAATAACCGAATGGATACTAAATTTTAAAACCGAAAGAACCGGAACCAAACCGAAACCGAACCGAAATTTCAAAATATCCGAATGGATACTAAATTTTAAAACCGAAAGAACCGAAAACCGAATAGACCCAACCGATAACCGAACGGATAACCGAAAGTCCAGGCCTAAGCAAGGACTCGAACTCCCTAAACTATAGATTGATTTAACCACTAGAGTAAGGGAAATATTTATTGCCGATTAAATACTTAATAGTATGAGGGCCGCAAGCCTAGGCTTGTCTTGCTTGGCCTCATGGGGGGCACTGTCTACAAAACCGATTATTTTTTACCATAATGCAAAATGAGAAAAATTATAACACCGACAATTGAAATTGTTAGCAAAACGAGAATACTAACACATGTTGTAACAAAACGACATATATCCGCGTCCAGCTTTTTCTGATGAGGGCAACCTTTTTCGTTCCATTCGGCTCCGCATGTGTAGCAAAACGAATATCCACATCTACCACATTAACCATAAACATTACAATGTTAATTAGGCGAAAACATAATCAAATTCAAAAGGATTAGATAATGTGATTAAGATATGGTGATGATACCTGCAAGTTACATGGATGCATCCTTTCGAAAGTTCGATCATGTGTTTGCACTTTTCACATTGACGCCACATTTTCTGATTTGCTAGAACTTTTAGTTTTTCATCATTTGTTGTAGGATTCAGACCTAATCTCTTGTAATCATCGCATGACAAGTTACTATGCCACGGAACTTTGCAGTTGATGCAAAAGGGTTCACCGCATTTGACACAACAACTCCTACTACCTTCATCTTCTTCAGTTGAGGTAGAAAGCTCGGTTTTCGACATTAATCCCGCGCACGTCGGTTTTGGACAATAAACTCTATCCGGCACAGGAATCAATTCCTCTTCGATCCTTTGTTCCCATATCGCTTTTAGTTTAGGTGTTAAAAGATTGTCACAACTTCTAAGAGTTAGCTTAGACTCGCATTGATAATGAAGACATGTCGGTACACTTCCCTCGAGTAGCCTCACTTCTATATGTCGTCTCACGCACTCGACACAGAATTGATGACCGCATAAGGGAACAGAATACATCTGCTCAGCTTCCAAATCATCATTGAAACAGATGCTGCAAGTCGCAGGCATACGTATGCTGATATCCGAAGCTACTGTTTCCATTGCAAGCTTATAAGCAAAGCTAATTTGATCTCTAGTCACCAGAATGGGATTACTAGATGACAATTGTTGTCTCATGCGTTGCACATCATTCATTAGCATGGCAATGTTATCTTGCTCCGGGACGGATCTCCCCATGACCTAATACCATTCAAGGGGAAAAAAAAATCAATTATGTAAAGACATGTGAGAAACTTAAAAGCCAAGGAAACACTTACCAATTCGTAAATATGATTATGATCGCAACAGATTGAGATATGATCTAGACCCAACTTCACGGTTGCGGTTAGTCCTCGTTTCAATGCCGTAAGCTCAGCTTCCAAAACCGTAATGTCCGAGCCATGAATTGGTCCCTTCATCTGAAACAAGAGCTTATCGTCTTGGTCGCAAATTGCAACCCCAAATCCCGCCAATAACTGCGACGTTTCCTCGCTTACTAAACCCTTAAAGTAAAGCCTGTACATGTCGCCGGATGGTACTAAAGTGCCTTCCTCCTCCATAGATTTGCTGTGAAGTTTCTTCTATATCATAGTGTATATATAGAGAAAACAGAGGACATGCTTTACTCGTGAGAATAGGACAGAGTTCCAAATCCAGTTAGGATTATATCTTACTCGTGAGAAAGAAGACGAGTTCTTAAGACTTGTTTGAGAAGAAATTCTCTTTTATTAATCAAAAACCGCCGTTCAACATTACATGAATAAAGATACTTATACTAATCTTAAAAGTAAAAACCCTAGGTTATTAAACCTTGTCGGCAAAGCAACGTAATTAAAAGAAATACCCAACGACATAACAAAAGCCCAATAGAAATAAAAACCAGCAAGCATAAACTAGAATATGGTAAGAGTAGAGAAACGGTGCTACATCAAATTCTCATTTCAACTTTTTCTACCAATACATTGCAAGTTACTGTCTCTCAAACCTTTCATATATTTAACATGAAACAAGGCGCTATATAGATTTACAAACACTTGGTACAGAGTTCTTACAAGGTCACCCCCATTCTTCTTCTAGGGTTCTTCAACTTCTTTTTAAGTGCAATTGGTGTCGTAGCTCGCAAGACCTAGTAGTTCTGGTCCCTCCAATCTCAGGTTGTTCTCAAAGCTGTAGCAATGGGCTTTGTGTTAGAAAACAAGTTTTGTGTTAAGGGAAAATGTTGGTCATAAAACAAAGGAAACAAAAACAGAACTTACTTTTGCATAGGAATGTGTTCAAAAGGTCCTTCTACTGGGATCGTTCCACACAAATCATTGCCGGAGACATCACTGCCAAAACAAAAAGACAAAGAAAGCGTATCTATATCAGGTGAACGAAAAGACTTGTAGACTTGTGTGGCACAGTAATTAGCAAACAGAAGCGATACATTGCTGGAAGTAGTTGAACTTACACAACTTTGAGGCATGAGATAGCCGTGAGTTCTCTAGGAATTGGACCGGTCAATCGGTTTTCGTTAAGCCGTCTGTGTCATGTCAAGCAATTACTTAGAATGTCATAACACAGAGAGAAAGCAAAAGCAAGTAACACCTACTCAACTACTGATACAAAACTCCATATCCTTTCCCCAAAACTTACAGAAAGACAAGTGACTTCAATTTTCCCAAAGACGATGGAATTTTCCCGGTGAGATTGTTGTTGTACAGATCCAAACTGATCAGACTCTTCAGATTTCCAAGCTCAGAAGGTATAGTTCCTTGAATCTCGTTTTTGTAGAGTTCACTATATGAATCAAAGCAAAATAAAACAGTTAATGATTAGTCACATAATGGGAACTTTTGGTTGGTAATCGAAAAGTAAGTTTTCAGATAATCAAAAGGCAAAAGAGTGATGATTCCATACAGATATTGTAAATGTTCAAGCTTCCCAAGTTCAGGTACTAGATGTCCAGATAAGTTTGAATTCCCCAAATCCCTGCCAATAAAGAAGGTAGAATCAAGATCGATATCGAGAACATACTAACAAATCGTTATATCGAAAAGTAACAAGACAATTCCAATCCAAATAGGTCACATAATTGAGAAAAATTAAGAAGAAACTGTTTTTTTTTTTCTTCTTGTTTGTGGTAATTTGATTCTGTAGCTGTCACAAATATCATGTCATGACGAATCTTAAAGAAACCAGATTTGATTTCGAATACATTATAAAATCAAGAACCCTAATTTAAGGGCACAACAGAGACTAGTGTTGAATCAGATAAGTAAATGAAGTTCCAGAGTTTCTCAAAAGGAAGCATTTTTGTCTCTTCTCTATATCAAACAATCAAATCCAGATTACAGTGATAGATTCCAATTGAAATTGAACAACTTGTACAAGAAGCGAAATCAAGAACCATCAAATCAAACGAGTACAAGGAAGAGGATCTTACAGTCGAGTGACTTGGTTGTGTTGATTACAAGTAACATGAAACCAAGTACAAGGATTAACAAGAGTTGGATCCCAACTCTGAAGAACATTGTCTGGATCTGATAAGCTCCGGCGAAGAGCGTGAAGAGCGTCGCCTTCGGAGTTTGCTTCTGTTAGACGAATTAGAGCTAAGGTTAGGATTAGAGAAGCTGCTAGAAGCTCCCGTCGACTGTTTTGCGCCACCATAGTTGTTGCCGGAGGTTAATCGGAGAGAGAATTAGGGTTTCGTAATCTCACTTTTTCAAACCCTTTTACAAGTTTGGTCTGAAGAAGAAGAATAAAGGACCAGGCTCTGGTCTGAAATGTACCTTCCTTTTCTACTTTTTTTAATTGAGTTATTGTTTTGTCTTTTTTGTTTTTTTTCGGTTTTTAAATGTAAGAAATAATCATTTTGATTTCTGATTTTTCTCAGTGTTCAAATTTGAAAAATTTGAAATTACTTGTGGGAAAAAGGTATAAATACATACAATAGGTTTGCAGTATTTTATGAAAATACCAGACGACAGTGGCATTGATAATTTTAAACAAAAATAAATATAATAATTTCTGTCAAAAAAAAAAAAAATTGATTTAAATTTTCAAACTGACATGTCAAATACGTTACTTTCTCTTGGTCAAACAGAAGACTTTGACTTCCACATATAGTTACATAATAAATAATTATTAAATTTTAAAAATCACTACGTTTAAAAAATAAATCACGGAACGTGTTAAGAAATTACATGACGAGTTATATTTCAGAACGGGGTTATATGACAGAAAGGTTTGAATCAATATTTATAAAATTTTAAAATATCATTAACATACCGCTTTAATACGGGTCAAATCCTCGGTTTATTAACAATTATCCCATTGACTCGTACTTAATAACAATTGTAAACTATAAAATATAAATATCCTTATAAATAGATACAATTTGCAAACTTTTATATATACTAACTTTAAAAAATAAATTATCCCGCTTTATACCGCAGATTAAAAGCTAGTATAGTACTATTTGATTAAAACTTTATAGCCTTAAATTAAAAAAAAAAAACTTATGAGAGTAAAGTTCTTAGCTCACTTATTAAGCTTTTCTATATATAAGAAAAAATAAACTTGTTGAAAAAATTAAAAATAATCTATAAAATAATAACAACCCGAATAAAAGTTTTGTAATTGTGAACAGTTACGACTTTTTTTCTTGAATAATAGTTTCGCACGACTCCAGCTCCAACCTCAAAAGTTCATGATTTTTGTCCATTTGAGTTTTCAGGCCTTCATTGCTCTCCTTAAGCTTTGCGTATATGTTTTCTTCTAGTTGATTAATTGATTTATCCACTTATGCTTGTTTAGCAACATAAGCAACAACTCTCTCAATATCAGTTGCCACTTTCTTTCCTATAGTTGGACCAATAGTATTGAGCCTATCTTGTACAACTTTCTGAAGCCTTTTATCAAAATCATTGTAAAAGAATTCTTTTACAGCCTTTAGGTTCTCCTCCGAATTGGTGAATTTGTCCCTCATCTTCTGCATAAACTTCTATACTTTTTCATCGAGGTTGTTGTGAAAATGCAGCAACTGATTCATTTGTTCTTTCATCTCTAAACTGGTGGATTTTTCCTTCATCTGATATCTCCTAAAATGTGAGGAAGTGAATTGTGCTCTCTTGGTTATTTTTTGGCGGAACAATTCTTGGGTTCACCCCTAGGGGTGAACCTCTCTTAGTCACCCCCTTTTAATTAGTCAATCAAAATCTACCATATAATCTAATTAAACAAACTAAAACAACCAATATTATCTAAATAAATAAAAATTAATTCATTAAAACCCTTTAAATCGAATTTACTGTAAAATATAAACCCTAACAATTTTTTTATAAACCTAAACCGACATATATTTCCATTTAATTCACTACAAAAAAAGTCCACATTGATAGCACTAGACGATAGCGCATTTTCCCGAACTGCTATAATAGATGAGTTCGTGATTTTGGTTACCTTTTAATAGCACCTGATAAATGCTAAGACCGAAAATACTTAAGCGGGAAACAAAATTGACCTATACCGCCAACACTTAGAAAAAATTTATTCACTTAAGCGCCTTTTGTCTTTTATTTTCCCTCACACTTCGCGAAACAGAACAAAATCGCCTTTGGTCAGTCTTCTGAGTTTAACTCTCAGATCCACGAGTTCCTTCGAATCCCAGTGAATTCTGTCAAAACAAAATCGATTCCAAGCCTAGCCAAAACTACTGACCTTGTCGCCGGCCATAAAATCGTGCTCCTCCGCAGACACATTCTTCAGCTCCGCCGCCAGTGAGCTAAAATCGAAGGCAAGTGTTTCTTCCCTACTCTAATTTCCTTCTTACTCTCTTTTCCATGTGATTTTGAATTGCTCTTTGCGATTTTAGGGTTTAGATGTGATTGCATTGTTTCAAATTATCGATTTTAGCTAGGGTTCATATGCAATGATATGTTTCTTTTTTTTTTAATTCTTCTTTGCGATTTTAGGGTTTATATGCATTGATCTGTTTCTCAAGCTAATGAATTGGATTTTGATTGAAAATAGGGTTTCGGGTAATTGAGAAGTTTATAGACACTACAAAAAAAATCCACATTGATAGCATACGAGGATAGCTCATTTTTCCCAATTGCTATTGAAAATAAGTTCATAATTTTTGTTATTGTATAATAGCGTTTAATAAACGCTAAAATAAAAATAGCTTTTAGTTAATGCTAAGATAGAAAATCTCTAAGCGGGAATGTAAAATCACTTATGCCGCTCAACATTTAGCTAAAAATTAAAAAAAAAAAAAACTTCACTTGTGCCCGCAAACATTTAACACTTTAACCAAATATTACACTTTTTTACCTCCAACACTTAATAAAAATCACAAAACCCACTTCGACCTAATTACAAACCATTCTTGCTTCTCTCCCGGCTTGACCCGTCGTCTCCAATGGCTCCGCCGCTCCGGTGAAGAAGAAGAACAAGAAGCCTCTAGATAAGGCAAAAAAGTTGGCGAAGAAATCGAAGAGGAAACCCAGGAGAATCAACGAAATTCCTTTGGATCCGGAGGCTATCGACTGGTGGGATACTTTCTGGCTCTGAAACTCTTCTCTCTCAGGTTCTCTTCTGTTTTATTTTAGTTTAATTCCTCTTCTTCTCAATTACCACAAGTCAATGTCGTTGCTAATGCTTTACTAGATTGTTACAGCGTCGGAAGCCAAAGCAGCGGCAAATCCAGCGTTCTCGTAGCACTCGTCGGCTGTGATTTTCTCCCTCGTGAGAATGAAGGCGAGAAACCCAGATTCTGATAGATCTAGTAATGGTGAAGATGAG